GCACATTTGGCGGCCTTCTTACTCGATAAATTTTTGGGAGATTACATTGAAGATTTAGATTCAAAACAACTCAAAATTGACTTATGGAATGGTGAGTCTCATCATTAATTAAAATATATCATCCATAATATTTGCTTTTAGGCGATGTTGCTCTTAAAAATTTGTCCTTGAAACCAAATGCACTAGTAAGTCATTACGGATCAGATTCATATCGAAACATCAATTTTCATGATACAGACTAATTTCAATCTTCCTGTTACAGTGGCTGCTGGTCACCTTCGTATGTTATTGCCGAGTCTTTCTTGTTGTTCTAGAAATTGAGTAAAATATTTAGAAAAATTATCACTTCACATTCCATGGAATCATTTATACTCACATTCGACAGAAGTCGTCATCGATGGTCTCTATCTACTTCTTACACCGAGAATCGGTTTGCTATCATATTATTTATGTTTTTCAAATATTGACTTAATTGTTATGTATTTTTATAGATGTTAACTATGACCCTGAACAAGATGCTCAAAAACAGTATGCTGAAAAAATGAAAGAAGTACACAAAGTTGAACAATTTCGCAAAGAAAGAGAAGTATATGGTGAGATTAAGATCTTTTATTGAAATACATAAGTAATTCTTTGAGATTTTCAATCAATTAAAAAGCTCGATACTCTAAAAATACTAAAATCCTTTTCTATTGTGTATACGAACAATAATTGTAACTTCTAAAAGTAATTAGATTTTTTTCACAACTAGTCATGTATTGTTCATCTCGAAGAACTGCTCTCTTTTTGTTCTCTCTTACTAAATACATTGTAATTTGAAGAAAATTCCAAAACGGTGTCCAAGAACAAAGATACATTTTTGGAACGTTTACAAATACATATTCTTCGAAATTTGACATTGTCAATTAGTAATATTCATATTGCTTATGAAGATAAAACAACGAAACCTGATCATCCATTTTCATTTGGTATTACACTTAACTACATCAAACTTTATGTATGAATTTCTTTCAACAATTCTATTTTCTTACTTAAAAATCGAATGTATCTTTTTAAAATAGACAACTAATGATGAATGGACACCTGTAGTATCGAAAGATGAATCACCAATTATGTATAAAGTAAATTATTGATATTCAAAGAAATCTGTTAATCTTTTCTTGCTCTTTTTAGTTAGGAGAACTCAATGCTTTATCTATTTATTGGAATTCTAATGTCAAATCTCAATCAGAACTATCACAAGAGAATATTATCGTACGTTTCTTTTTTTTAAATTAATTATTTTTCTTCTAATTGTCTGATAACTATAGGACAAACTACAAGCAAAATTTGTTAGTAAGGAAGATACTACACTAGAGCCTATAACTTATAGTAAGTTTTTATTGTGTTAACTTGATCAAAAACAAAATTCTTCTTAGTTTTACGACCATTAAATGTAAATGTTAAATTAAAAATGGCTGCAACATCTCATGAACAAGATTACACAAGACCAATATTCGATGCTAAAATCGATATAGATTATATTAGTTTAAATATCAATCGTAATCAGGTTACAAAAAAAAACGAATAATGTGTAATTTCATTAAAATATTTGTTTAGTATTGTGATCTACTCGATCTACTCGAATTTCAAAATCATTTGAAATTAGAATTGAAATATATTAAATATTATTCTATGATAGAAAATAATACTTCAGATAAACTAAGTGTGAGACGGTGAGAGATTTGAAAAACAAAAAAAATATTCTTGTATTGATTTTATTTTCGTAGATGGAAATTTGCCTATGTTACTATTTTAAATGAAGAAGTTCGACCACGACTTGCATCCTACAAATGGGAAACTATTAAGACTAATCTTGAACGATTTCGTGAGTATCGTGAAGTTTATTTTCAAGTATTATCTGGTAATGCAAACAACAAGCAAAAACAACGTGCTGAAGTAACACATTATCTAATCATCGTTTTCTTTTTTGTTTTCATTTCTTGTTTTAGGAATTAGAAAGAACGATTGATGTATTCAATTTAATTTTTATTCGTCGAACTGTTGAAATTGAGGTAGAAAATAAAACTCGTTTGTATTCAATATAGTTTAATAACAATATTCTACAGATTAAAAAGAAACAAGCAGAACAAAAAGAACAAGGTTGGTGGAAAAAATTGACTATTAATAGTTGGTGGAGTGGAGAATCGAATGAAGATAATCCAGGTAGATATATCCAATTGTACTTCGAATTGGTCATTATTTCTTTTTTTTTGTGCAGAATTTAATATTGACAATGCAACGATAGCCGATGAAAAGAAGAAATTATACGATGCTATTGGTTATGCAGAAGATGATACATCATCAGTTTATCCAGAAGAAGTAAACATGTCTTTTTCTATAGTTGCAATGTTGAATAATCAATTGTTTTGTTTAAAACTTTCAGTATGTTGATATTGATCTGTCGATTCGACTAAATATGCTTGAAATCAATGTCTGGTCGAATATTAAAGAAAACGATACACAGTAAATGATGTATTTTGATTATAGAGTAACCTATGAGAATATTTAAAAGTTTGTACTATATACATTTTAGCAATTCGAATAGAAATCAGAATAAAGATGTTCATATGAAGAGATTAGATTCTATTTTGTTTTTTCTTTCCTCATAGCTTGAAAATAATTGCTTGTGCTGTTGTACCCAATGTTGGTTTGATATTCAAACGACGTCCAGTTAAATCAGATTTTTTGTAAGATATTGATAATTTCATGTTACTTTTTTTTTTTACTCTAGTTGATTTAATTCTATTAGATTTGTAATTGATTTGAATTCGTTTGATATATTTGGTGTTACTGCTGATATTATCGAAATAGAAAATTCGAATGGTAATCGTCCTGTTCTTGTTAAACCAGTAAATCAAATAGAATTAAAACAAAAAAGTCTCTTACATATCGAATATGAAACTAATCCATTGGATAGATCATCTGAAAATCGTATACAAATCATATTACAATCTCTCGAGATTACTTATGATGCGGTATTAATTTATTCAAATAATCATCTTTTATTACTTTCAATATTTTTCTTTTCCATTTAGTTTACTATCAACAAACTTATCGAATATTTTCAGCCTGATAGGAAACGTGATTTACAAGGGTAAAAATACAATTAATAAAATATTTATTCATTTTATGATCTTTATCTAATTTTTCAGCATAAAAGAAATTGCTTATTCAACATTTAATGATATTAAATATCGTACACATTTTCTCTTCAATCATTATCTAAAAAATATTCAAGCATCAGATATTAATATTGATCTTCAACCTTTTTATTTTCTCTTGCCAGAAAATGGTGTTTACCGATGGTAGGAAGAAAAAAAAAAAGATTATCTATATTAAAAAAAAACAATCATTCTCATTTTTTTTGTTACTTTTAGTGATTGCTCAGTACTCTGTTTGAATTTCGGTCATTTCACATTTAAAGGTGGTCCTAGTTATATTAACAAAGAAATAGAAATAGAAAAAACATCTGAAAATAATAATACAGTATGCATAATAGTGTATTTTTCCTTAATCAAATCGTTTTTTTCTTTTAGGAGTCTTTATACTTTCCATTAAAACTTAGATTAGAGAACATTCAATTACTCTATTTCAATACATATATTGGACTTGATAATGCTCCAATGAATTTAATCAAGCCAATCACCATCTTTGTCGATATACACAAGTGTATTGATTCTGAAAATGCTGTATTACCAACGTACGTAATTTCATTTAGATTTCTAATAGGTTAACCCTCGAATTGTCTCGATAGATCTGTCTACTTATTTGTGATTTAATTTTGAAATCTATTCTTTTTAAAGAATTCTATGAAAATCTTAGGTTTTTGTTTCAATGGGATGTGGTAAAAAAACCTATTTTTGAAGTACTTATTTGCTTTTCGTTATATTTTTCACACTATGCTCGTTAAATATAACACAGATACATGTTTAGGTACTGAGTATATTTGAAAATTTTTATATATAAAAATTGAACAGCAATTAAACGTTGTTGTTATTTTCTGTTTTTTTTTTATTGTTATTGTTAGTTGGAAGATCGATATACAAATTTCAGCTATTGATGGTCGATTATCTGATAAACATATTTTCGAAATTATCAAACTTTTTCAATCTATTTCATTTCCTGAATCAAAAGAAGAACCAGTGGAAACTGAAATACGTCTAGAGGTTAGTAATAATCTTTTCTTTTCATTTATCAGTATTATGTATAATTTGTATTAATTGAACTGTAACAGTCTACAACATTTGAAGTTACCGTACCTCGTAGAGATACGAAAAAAACATTGGAAGCAGTGGAAAGTATGACACCAGTACAAAAGATCTTACAAGAAGCAGCCAGTGCCGAAGCAGAAGACAAAACACATGAGCAGGTACCAGCAGAGATTGTCAAGAAAAAAGTTGATTTAGAAGACCAAATAATAGAACTTGAAGTTACTTTTGAACTTCCACAAGTAAGTTAAATATATTCGAAATTTTTAAATAATTTAGAGTTATCTATAGATTGATCTGCTCATCGAAGAGTCTCTATCAAATTCATCGAATGATACACAACCATTTATTCGTATTTCACTGCTATCAATTATTGCTCGAACTACAATGAAAACATTCGATATCAATTTCAATGCATCTCTTGCAGATTTTATTATTGTTCATGAACAATTTATTACTAATAATAATGATCGACTTTGTTTAATTGCTATGGAAAGACTTAGTGATCGAGAAAATGATACACTTATTAGTATTAATGGTTTTTTGACATCACCTGTAAATCCAAATTTTGCATCTGCTCCTTACAATAGTATCGAAAATCAAATACATATACATATCGGCAAACCTATTCTCATGTTACAACTGGAAGCAATTCTGTCTATTATTAGATTTCAAAATGATATCATGAAAAAGATATCGAAAGATAAAAAAGAGACAAAAAGACAAACTGTATCAAAAGAGAATCCGAAACATATCGTAAAAAAAGATCCGGCATCAGGAATGTCAACATTTCAATTCGAAGTTCATCTCGAAGGATTACGTGCAATAATTGGACTTGAATTCTTCCAAATAATTGATATACAAAGTCAAGGTCTTCATGCTCACATATTGAATTCAATCGAAAAAACATCAGCCCATTTGATTCTTACTGATTTACGTGTCTTTGATGCTAATCCAAATGCACGCTATCGTCATATTATTTCACAACAAACCAATGATAAACAACTCTTATACATTGATTTTACTCTCTTCAATTATCCAAAAAAATACGAAAAAACTATTGATGATATTGATTGTGACATCAAAATACAATTGACTAAATTAAATATAGTTCTTCTCTACAAGCATATTGACCTCATTTTGAATCTAATCAATCTATTTCAAATAAAAAAAACTAAATCTAATGTTTCTTCAAATGAGCCAAGTGCTATCTCGGAAACTATGGAAAAATTTCAAAATCAAGCACGCAAACTTCATCTTGATGTAATACTCAATGCACCGAGCATATTTGTTCCAACAAGTTCTTATTCAAATGAAGGACTTTTTATTGATTTCGGTCAATTAACAGCACAGACACATTTTAATAATGATTCAAATCGTTCATTTGTCGAACAGCAAGTTATAATCATTAAAAATCTATTTGCAAGTCGAGTTCAACTTGATAAAAACAATGAAACACGTGGTGACATTAGCCTACTTAAATGTACAGAACTCAGTACATTGATTGATCGTCTGTTATATCCAGAAAAGATTCAAAATGAACCAGAAATTTCTATTATAGCGAAATGGGATACTATTGAATTTACATTAGGAAAAGATGATTATGCATGTATAATGAAAATATTTAAGGCAAACTTTTCAGAGAAGATTTATCACAAGATACCGAAGTCTACTATTATTCAAGAAAAGGTTGAATATAGACAAAAGAGTGTTACTGTTACAAATAAAAATCAACAAAATTTGAGTGATAATCAAGTTTCGAAAAAAATTCATTTCAATGCTGAAATAAAGAAGATTGCTCTAACATTGTATCTCAGCGAATCAAAACTGACCATTCGACATGCATCACGTGATGAAAATTTAAAATTTCTTGATTTACGATTTGAAATGCTCACAGCTGACTTTTGTCAACTATCCGATTCGAATTACAATGGTAAGGCACAAATACAAACATTCTTATTAGAAGATTTACGCGAAACAAATAAATCCAATACTGTTACACATATGATCGATCGAAATTTCAATATTGATCCAAATGTACCAATGTTTACAGTTACTCTTGAATTTAAAAAAGAAAATAAACAACAATCTAATGGTGTTCGAGAAGGTAGGTGCAAAATGTTTGCTTTTATATAAACATTTATTTTATTTATTAGTCAATGCTGAACTTGAAAGTTTTTATATTTGTATGAGTCCAGATTATTTTATGGCATTATATAACTTTTTTATCTTGAGTCTGTCGTTAAGTGATGAGAAGAAATCATATCCATCAATAATGTATACAGACACATCGCCTGATATGCCATTGCCAGCAAAACCTATATCAACATTTCGTCGATCGAATCGATTATTCAGTGATGCATCAGAATCTCCATTGCATTCTCCTAAGAGATCGTTCGACACATCTCGTATATCTTATTTTCATTTTTCTTTTCTTCTTATCAAGCATGAATAATCTATTTTAGCTACATCTGAGATTGATGATTATCTTCATACTAAAGTTAATATCGTAATTAAAAGTCCGGAGATTATTTTACTTGAAGATCAACATAATAAAAATTCGAATTGTCTTGTACTTGATGTAAGCGACAAAAAAAAATATTTTTAAAAGAACAATTACTTTGTATTCAGTTTGCCTCTCAAATACGTATGGATATTGTCGGCAATAATACAAAGATATATGGTTCACTGAAAGATTTGACTATTTACGGTTCAAATTTTGCTGAATTAAAAACTTCGAAAGTCAAATATCGAGTAAGAAAACAATAGCTCTTTTGTTTTGTATTACTCTCTATCTCTTGTTGTTCAAAGATTTTGCAACCGGTCGATATCAATAGCATTTTGATTATGAACTCAAAAGAGCAAAAGATCGATCTACATATTGGGGATATTACCATTCAAATTCCTCCAGCAGCAATTCGTACAGTTCTTAATTTGATAAAATCAATGGGCAAACTTGAAGTAATTGTGTATATATTGCTATTACTTGAAATATAAATATTTCTTTTAAGACTCCTATTCGAAATGAAACGGAAAAAGTTAATTCGAAAGGAATCTTTGATACAAAACCATTCAAAGATGCTAGTTTTTGGTTTATCAAAGGTTTGTTGAATAAATCCGAACAATTTTCTACGGCTTTGTTCTTTTTTTTTACAGATAACGAAGAGAAACAAGAATTAATTGAACAGACAGATGTTTTGGAATTAACTACTGGTACTCCTTCACATAAGAAAGCTTCTATTGAAGAAGCAAATAAACATAAAGAAAAAGAAGAAAAAATCCAAAGTCAAAACATTCTCTTTCAACAAGTTTGAAAATAAAAAAACTCGAAAATTTCAATTTAATTCGATATTTTTTATTTTGTAGGTTAATTTAAATTTGAAAATAATCGAAATTAAACTTGAACTTGGCACAGGTTCATTCACGAAACCTGTAATAGCTATGTGTCTCTCAAATCTATTTGTCGATGTAAAAAATTGGTCTAGTAATGTACATCGAGAAGTTTAACTAAATATTATCACACATATAATTTGTTTTTTTCTTTCTCTATTTAGATAAGTATTTCATCTAAAATTCATGTTGAATTAGCTTTATTCAATGATAATTTATTGTCATGGGAACCACTTATTGAACCAGTTATTAATGATCGTGGTGAGGTTGTATGTCCATGGTGTATTACATGTTCGACTTCAAATGTAAGTTTTACAAATCATCTGGCATCTTATTTTTTAAAATACATTATTCTTTTACTTTTTATAGCATGAAGAAGACGAAGAAAATGACGATGAGGTAAAATTTGTTACTCTATACAAAAAAAAACAAATAGTCGATTTTATTTCTGAAATGAGTTTTGCTTGCAAACGAAAGAAACTATTGAAAATTTATTTCTATTACAGTAATATATGAAAATATCATGAGTATGATCATTATGTTTGAGTAATACACTTTATAGTTGAAATATCATATACAAAATATAGAAATATATTTTTTTCAAAATTGTATGTGCACTATTTCAGTCACGATTCTTGCTTGATGATCCAAAATCATCTTCGAATACTGAACCAGTACAAAAAGATGATACTGTAAGTTTGGATGCTAAACAAGTTATTTATGTTCGAGCCGATCATCTACTCAACATTACTATAACAAAGACGATGTTGAATCTTGCACAACGTCTGTCTACTATGTTTAAAAACGCTTATAATACTGAATCATCATGGAATGAAGATAATGATGATGATGATGATGATCGATCAATGTTATCAATACACAATATGACAGGATATGATATTTACATTGATAATTTAAAAGGTGTTAAGGTAGATCGATCGATTTTTTATATTAAATTATAATCATTTGTATGTATTTTATTTTAAAGTTTCTCGAAGATAAAAAATTAAATACTCCAATTCATCTCAAACAATATGATTCACTTCCATTGACAGTACCTAGTGAACGATTATCGGCGACACGAATTCCTGCTATTGCGGAACAAATGTCTAATAGAAGACAACAATTTTCTGTTCAAGTAATAGATTTTCATGTTTTCCATCAAAAGACATGTGTGTTAAATTAGATTGCCAATGAAGTCAAAACAGTAGATATCAATCAAACATGGAGACGAGTATTTGATTTAGGTCCATCATCTATTCCAGATTGGCCTATTCAATTACTTTGTGATTCTCAATTATATAATGATCGTCGACGAATAGTTCTAAGTTCAATCATCAAAGTAAACTTAATTTCTTGCAATCATTATTGAATTGTTTGATTTTTATTTTGCTCCATGTTAAGGTATTCAATAGAGCTACAATGCCAGTGATGATTTTAGATATTGATTCAGTTGAAATGGGAACATATCAAGAAGTAGCTCGTATTGAACCCAGTGGAGAATTGTATCTTCCACTTGAGCTGGTTTATGCCCACATGAATTCACATCTATTTATTACCATCGAAGAGTAAGATTTTATTCTCTTATCTCTTTCGATACATAATGATAAATATCGTAAAGAGCTAAATCTACGAATGGCATTCAGGATTTCATCTCATTTGACTGGGCAATCGAATCTTCTACCGATCGTGTATTGAACATGAAAAATGGCAAAGATGTTAATCTTGTTGTATGAAATTATAGTTTTATTTTCACAAGAGTACTTTTTTTGTTTTTTTTTTAGTTCTATAAAGAATTAAAGGATGCTTATTCAGAAAATACTGATGAACCTATTCGAACTTCATTTCATGTCTACGTCAAACTAGCTCTTCATCTCATTAATCTTTTATCACTTGATGTCGAATGTTCGATTGACGTAAGTAAAACAAGCTTTTTTTTTGCTTTGCTCTGAATTTAATCCAACATCGAAGTGTACTTCATTAATATACGATTACTAAAGGCGTATTGAATCTTACTTTGCTTAATTGACTTTCTTAAATTATAGTTGCACCGACAAGACGTATTTGTGATCTTTTTTCATCAATAAAAGTCATATAAATGAATGACATCAAGAAATATTTCTTTAGTAGACTTGATAGTAAACCAATAATTACATTAAATGGAATCATATGATTGTATGTCCTTTAACCGAAGCTGCATCCTTATTTTCAATTTTATCTTATGTGAAATCGACTTATAGTTCTTTAATTTCAGTTTTCTATCTTGTATTTAGAATGTCGAACAAGTCGAATTGAAACCGAGCCGCCTGTATCATAGTATATCGGGTAGCAAAAAATCTGTGCTGACATTTATGGTAGGTTTTTTCATAAAAGAATTTTTCTCAGATGTTTAACTATCATCCTACTACTTTCTTGGACTGCTTGACAAGATTCATCTTATCTGATTGTTGAACACAGCAGGATTTCGAACTATAAATTTTGTAGTAAGAATTATATGAGAACTGGTCGATACTTGTCTACATAGAAGAACTAATCGGAGTAAATTTGTTTCGAAGATATCCACATACATTTTAAACTTAAAGAATATTTGCTAATTTCTTAAGTTGTAATCGAATAAAATACTCGATCGACTTTGTCTTTCTATGTCGTATATCAAATAAGATTAATTTTATTGTAAAAGACACAAAAATTATTTTCATATTTCAATATCTTATCTTGCTTTTTGTTTTATATATAAGATTCCATGCTATAACGATGCTAAATGGATATCGGAACCAATTGATTTGACCATTAAAAGCAACAATAATCACAATGATCATCCTATTATATTTCATAATGCTACTACACAAGAAACATTGGTATAAAATTAGATTCATTTGTGAACTTTGTAATTATGTCAATTATTCTCTTCTAGAGATTGCTCTTGCGTGTCGATACATATCGAGCATCGTATCGTGCTTCTCTCTATTCTCCATATTGGATTGTTAATTGTACTGATATGAAGTTTGAATTCAAAGTATGTCAATGTCTTATTTATTGGAAGTACTATTTTTCTTCGTTTAGGTTGAAGGCGAAAAGACATTGATCGAGATTGTTGATCCACCATTTTTCGTATGTCCAATTAATTTTGATAGTAAAAAGAAAAAAGTAAATGAATTAAATAATTTCAAATAAAAAAATCACTAGCAACTATTTCGATATTCTATAGGGTCAAATACGTATTTTCAATAAAGAACAAGATGATGCCGTGTCTGAATGGTCTGAAGATTTTTCACTTGATGTAATTAAAAGTACTGGAATGGCTAGTTGCAAAATAGCGAATGACAGAACATATATGGTAACAAGAATTCATTGGAAGTATAATTTTTTGAACAATTTTTGTTTTCGAATTATAAAATAATAGATCTGTATTGATATCGTCACTTCTTCATTTGGTATGACGAAAATTGTTACACTAGCTCCAGCTACAGTCGTCATCAATAGATCAACTGTATAATCCATTTTTCTCTATAACATATATATATATATATATATATTTTTTCACTTTTCAAAATCTAGATTGAAATTGAAGTTACTGAAGCACAAACAGAAATAGAAGAGGAACAATGGAGATTAGTAAAGCCTGAAGATGTAAGTTTCTCTTCAATGAAATATTTATTATTCTTCACAGATATCAATGTAATAGATTATTCCATTTTGGCCACGTAATGTAGAAGAAGCTATTATGCGTGTTCGTTATACACATAATCGAATATCATCAACTGCATTTTCATTTACTCAAAAACATCGAACATTATTACGTATGAATGATGAAGAACGTCCAGCACTTCAAGTTGAAGTTATTGCAACTGATTTCGATGGATTTCGTGTCGTTTTTGGTGACTACAAGATTGGAGATGCACCTATCTTAGTAGTCAACTGTTTGAAATCTTTACCGATTGCATTCTGTCAAACAAATGATGTGTAAGCGTTTCGTTTCTCTCTTTAGAAAAAAAAAAACAAATTTGCTTGAATAGAAGAACACAAATATTACCACCCCTACACTATGTTTATTATACATGGATCAATCCATTGAAACTACGAACATTATTCATTGGATGTCATGATCAAAGTGTATCAATTGAACTTAATGTAAGTTAATCCGAGTAAAGATTATTTTAGAAATCATATAAAAATAAACAACAATATTCTTAACAAACTATTTATTCACTTTTTAGCCACTTTGTGGTGTTCTTGAAGCAAATGATCAACAACAAGTGTACTATACAGTATTTCAAGATGGTCCTCAAACAGTATTACTCTTCACTGAAGAAACAGATCTTATCGAAGCAGTTACATATGTATGTTGAAATATATATTTATTCTTAACAGTTATTTATACACATATATGATTTTCATTTCAGATGCCATCATTAGGTGAATCAATGAAACAGCATTTACAAATTGGCATTCGTGATATTGGCATAGCGATTATCGATGATATTGTTCGGAACGATTTATTTTATATTAGTATAAGCAAATCTAAAGATATCTGGATGGAGAGCAGCAAGTCTCGTATGAGACCACTTTCATACGATCTCAATAAATATGTTGATGAACAATATGAATCGTATATCAAAGATGTAAATGCTCATTCAAATGATGAAGAATTTTTAAATAAGAAATATCGTATAGATGAAAATCGCGTAAGACTTTCTCGTTTAATAATACGAATTCGTATGTTAATCGATCTATGACTAGGACGTTTCTTTCGATGAAGATACTGCTGAATTGACCGATCATCAAGATCATCTAGTACGTATTAAACGACAACCATTGGATGGATTTTGGGTTGGCTTTGCTTGGTCGGCAAGCAATGCTGCAATTCATCTACGTATCAATCGTATACAAATTGACAATGAACATGAATTTACTTTATTTCCAGTTGTTCTTAATCCAATTGTTTCTAAAGCAGCAGGCACTGATATACGTATGTTTCATTTCAATAAGTAGTCATATTACGAAAAGAATTTTGTTTTCTTTTTTTGCATAGCTGGAAAACCATTTATTGAATTTAGTCTATTCAAAACAACAATAGCACGATCGAATACGATGCATATCAAGTAAATCATATTTTAGTTAATAATTTTCGATGAAATAAATTGAATTATTATTTAGATATTTAAAATTGCTTGTTCAAGAATTTGTCTTTTGTGCTGATCAAACTTTAATCATGTCGATTCTTACATTTCTAAAATCTGAAAAGGTTCATTTTCTTTTTCTTTTTCTTTTTTTTTATATCTTTAAAGTTGATCTTAAATTTATAGGTTACAGCAGCACCTACACTTAATATGGACTCAGATTTGAAACGTATTTATAAGCCATTGAAAGCAATTACTGAAGCTCAATCAAATAGTCTACCAGCTGAACCAAAAATATACTTTGATAATATGCATTTATCTCCACTCAAGGTAAACAATTTCGGCAATATTCAATATCGAATGAATTTTAAATAGATCAAAGAGGATTAAGTTTATTGGTCATAGAAAGAAAAAAAAAATTATAATTTTACAATACACTGAGATAACACTCTCTAGTCTATCATCAGATGTTCAACAGTACTACTGCTTTTGATGTACAATGTTTTTATTCTTACAAACATGTTAAATAGATTAATGATTTATTGAAGAATAACTTACACTTTCTTTTTATTGTTTACTTTTGAATTTTATATTTCATAATCTGTTTGTTTTAATTGATAGATTCACGTCAGTTTTTCAATGCATGGCACAGGCAAAAACGAACAATTACTAGCTGAATATCCATTAGTTGATTTCTTATTACAGATATTAAATGTAGCAGAAGTACAAGATGTTATTTTAAAGTATGTTTATTTATTTATTTATTTATTTACGAATAAATCATTTCTATGTCGATCTATACTATAATATAGAATAAATTGTTACGAACGAAAAAATGATCAATTTACGACAGCAAAAGTGATTGAGGAAATTGAAAATCATTATCAAAATCAATTGATGAGACAAATTCATGTAGTCGTTCTTGGTTTGGATGTACTTGGAAATCCATTCGGTCTTATACGTGGAGTTGCGGAAGGTGTTGAATCATTCTTTTATGAACCATACAAGGCAAGTCTTTAACAACACTTTTTTAGTTGAATTGAACAATATCTTTCAGGGTGCTATGGAAGGACCAATACAATTTATCGAAGGAATAGCAATTGGTACTCGACATTTGCTTGGTTCTGCTGTAGGTGGTGCAGCTGGTGCTGTTTCAAAGATTACTGGTGTAGCTAGCAAAGGTTTAGCAACGTTAACATTCGATGAAGATTATCAAAATGCTCGAATAGCACGTAAAGAAGTTGCTGGACATACAGTATCTGATGTTGTTTTCAGTGGAAAAAATGTTGGCAAGGTTTGTTAAATTCTACATTATTATACTATAAGTACTGATGGTTTGCTTTTTTACAGGATATTGCCCATGGCGTTAAAGGTGTAGTGAAGAAACCAATGGCTGATGCCAAAAAAAGAGGCACACCAGGTTTTATAAAAGGCTTAGGTAAAGGTTTTCTTGGATTAATCGCACGACCAGCCAGTAGTATTGCTGAATTTACTAGTACATCGTTCGATTTAATCAAACGGTTAGTGATCTTCTTGTTATTTAGATCTTTGTAATAATTTGTTTGTTTATTTTTCATAGAGTGGCTGTGCATGAAGAAGTTGTTCATCGTGTTCGAAGTCCACGTCATGTCGGTCGAGATGGTATTGTTCGACCTTCAACTGCTCATGAAATAAGAGGATTTTATATTTTGAATGTTAGTCGTTTAACAAAGTTCGTTTTCAATGTGAATTTTCTTTTCTATTTTTCAGACACTCGATGATGAAAAGTACAAGAAATCCGAAGGTTATATTGCACATATTGATTGTTCTGAAGATCCACCTAGTTGGCTTCTTGCCACTTCCAAGTACATATAACTTTTTATATTCTTGAATCAAAAACTTATTTATCAATCTTTTAGACGATTATTATTTTTAACTGAAAAAAGCGGCTCATCCGATGCCTATGATGTTGAATGGGATTGTCCATACAAAGAATTGAAAGGATCACCTGTTGTTAAATTTGAACCAAACGTAATTCAAATTATTTTTAAAGTAAGTTCAAGGTCTATATTTATAGCTGTTGATCGAAATGTTGAATACGGATAACAGCGAAATATAGAAGAGTTTCATTTACTATTTGAAAGGATCAAAATAATTTTTTTTATTATTCTTATTTTACAGGAACCAAAAGTACTTGGACTAATCAAGACAGACGAATCGCATGAAAAAACGGTCTCCTATCGAAATACTGGTGAAGCTCGAGTATGTTTTTTTTTTCTAATTATTAATTTACTTCTTTCTGTTTTTTGCTACATTAGTATATCGTCGACAAAATCGCTCAGATGATGCGTGCAATGGAACTTTAATTTTACTTCGTTATATTTTAATTCAACTATATATCTTTTATAGTACTTTCGATTTACGCAGCAACGAGAACTCTCTCTCTATACTTTTATTTCAGAATTATTGTACGTGTTACTAATCGTATGAATACGTTCTTAAGTTATCTGTTTATTCTCGAACATTGTATCTATATATTCTAGCCTTATGATAATTAATATATGTATTGATCAGACTCGCAACAATTTTGTTTTCTCTTTCTTTCTACGTTGATTAGAATATTTTCAAATGAGATCAAAACTGAAAATTATTCAGTAGTTAATTAATTAATTTTCGAGAGCTATATCCCATTTGTGAATCAGCATTTTCAGTTCGAGATCGATCTTAACTAAAACTAGTGAACAAATATTGATTACATCAATCTTCAACGCAATCATTTGATATCAATAGTAACATCTAGACAAATTAGCTATTACTAAGATGATACCATTGATTTTTAAATATGTTCAAACTCTGAATTTGTCTATTTAGCTTACTTTATTCCATATCAACTACAAAAATTCAATATTTGAAAATAACTTTAATATTGAAAACATTCTTTTAGTTTGTTTTCGTATATTCGATTGAGTTTACTTCAATTAAATTGTATTGGAAATTTTAGATACCATGCCGAACTTCAGCAGACATTAACTCAGGTTACGACATTTGCTTTGTTTGTACTTGAGTATGTGTCTATTCTTTTTAATCGATACAGATTGATGGATTATAGTTTTATTCTAACAATGAGTGTGCATTTCGATAAACATTTAGTTAAAAGATTTCATGATATGACTTAAGAATTGGCAAATGGTGGAATTCAAATTCTATGTCAATAGTCTCGACAAATTAACAACTGATAATGAAAGTGGAGTTTTTTCAAATCTATTAGAAACAAGAAAGTACAAGACTAATTTCAGCTTGGATTGAAATGAATTGGTAGAAGAAAGGGAATGCGCTTGAATTATAAAGTAAGGCATCGATTTTCCAGTTGAATATCAATTTAAATCTTTGACGCTTGCTATGTCTACTTAATATTCATCACAGCAATGAATCATGATTTTGTTCGATTGAAAAAAATTCCTTTTGATTGATTCGCTCTATTACAAGATTAGATGCCATCTTTCAAGTACGATGTTTGCTCCAAATTGATTTTAACGATCATTTGAACTATGCATAATCTCTCGCTTCTCTTTTCTATCACTTATTCAGTTGTTCTAATTGAATACACTACATGTAAATAACGCGGAAATCGACCAAATGGGCATCAGTTTGGAATTTAAAAATCTTCTCCGCCTGGACGTCTTTCGTATCAAATAGTGACAGTTCAGAAAGATTCGAACAACGATCAGGAGGAAATCGACCATGGAACATCGACGAATTCAGTCTTAAACAGTCAGACAACTGAGATTCCATCTTCGACTACAGAGATTTCTATTGATACACCAAGTCCAACAACTGAATTTGCGATGATTGCTTAGCAATGATAGACACCACAGTTCGAATTGATCTTTGATTCTGATCATCACTCTTAAAAGCATATGATAAACATTTACAGAGAACAACCATTGCTGTAAATTTATTTAAGCGTTTATATCACATAATAAAATTCATAAAGCACATATTCAAGAAAATGAAAATTCTTTTATTTGTTATTTTATATTATTTCTGTAATGTCAAAATAGCGATAGAAACTTTTAATTTGAGGAGAGTCAATAAATTTGTGGATAATTAAACTTTCTGCTCAATCAACAGAGGCTTTCGCTGAATCAATTACTATTGTAGGACTACTATTTTTTCTTGTGATAGATGAATAGTGCTCATGTAAAAACGATAATAATAAAGTTTGTATATTAATATGAAGGCGTCAACTACACTCAATTACAATTCTTTTTTTTCATGGAAAAAAATAATGACTTACTGTTGAGACTTAGCTATTTAATTCTTCGAAAGAACGTGTTTCAATGGAAAAACATCTTGCAACTTCATTCAAAATTTGCAATGAGAAGTAAACTTTTGGTTTAAATGAAAATATTCGAGTTATTAAGTTGTTAGTGTCAAAGGAAAATGTTTTACTTAAAATTTGATTATTCATTTTGGGGTGAGTGTGAGTGTGAGTGTGGGTGTAAGTATGCTTCTTCTATGCACAATCACACTCCCACACCTCCGCACTACACCTACATCCCCGCACCCACCCACACCCACAACATCACTTCTACCAGCTACCACCGTCTTGCCAACCCACTATCAAAATCATAATAGAAAAGAAAAGAATAGAAAAATGACGAAAAATCTAGAGTTCATTCGAGTACAATTTGTATTTTATATTTAAACTGTATTGTTAACTTATTCTATCAATAAAGACTGAAGAAGGCAGTATCGACTTGCCGAAATGTCACAAATAATAAAAACAATATTTTTAGGAAGAGAATTAATAAAAACTAAAAAAATATTTATGACCTTCCTTAGCAAATACGAATTTCAAAGATTGTGGAAATATAGAGAGCGGAATTTTACCTTTTTGTGTTCAATAATTTACTTTAACCATTGGCTTTCATAGGGAAAAACTTACACAAATCAATAAATGTCAGCAGAAAATAGGACATTACAGTTAGACGATAAAGTAGATGTTCATCTTTGAAATTTAGAACTGGTAAGAAAAAGTTTTTTGAAAAAATAAAATGACCAGTTTTTTAGAATTCGAAATTCTCTATCTCTTGATACAAAAAGAAAATTTCTATCTGTTAAAGAAGTAGGAAAAATGCATTAAGATTTTGTTCAATTTATTATGGCATACTCGTTCGTGTTACACTTACCACCTATTGAGGCAAAATTTCGGAAAAAATGATCAAAAACTAGCCTTTTTAAATTAAAACTTTAAAAGAATTCATTTTATTTTTTTCATGATTCAAGTCGATTAGAAGTCAAATAAATCGATTAAAATAGTGCAATTTTAATCGACTCCGAATTAGAAAAAAAATATGTGGAAATTGAATTTGTTCCAAATTTCTTACATAGATGACAATCTCTAGTGTATATTGCTTTTTTTTTATGACACATCATATCTGATTGTGACAGTTTTTTGAAACACCGTCAATAATGTATGAATACTGACTTTGAAAACAACTATGTAATTTTTAGCAAGTTTTTTATTTCATGTAATAGGCAAAACCAATTTATATACTCTGTGACAGTCTCTGGTTCCTAATGACAAATCATATTAAAGTAATTTCGATTATAGATGTAAATAAGTTCCGGGAGAGTGGCTTAAGATATCATTTATTGAACTATTTTTCTTTTTTCTTTTTTGAAAAGACTTAATGTAAATAACTTGTTGAAATAGTTGTGTTGAAAGATTTTGATTTGGAAATTCATTTAATAATTAAAATAAACATCCATTTATTCATTTTTATACGAATATTATAAGTTAAAATATTAAAAAAAAAAGAAAATAAACGAACGAAGAGTGGGTATGAGAAATTTATGGAAATAACGTCTATACTCACTCACTATTGAGGGTGTGCGGTGAAGCATAAATATAAGACTTCACTCTCACACTCTTAATCTAGTTCTTTATTCTTTTTCATTTTATTCAATAATTAAGATGTATTCTATTTCGAAAAAGAGAAAATAGAGACCAAGACTCCTCCTCTTGATTGTAATGTCTCCATCGGGTTATCATAATAAATTGTTTGATAGGCCTGGTGGATCTAAAAATCGTTCAATAGACCATGCGTATGAGTCTAAAATATGTCAGATTCTAGTCAGTACTCATCTTTTATCACTTACATCACTTGATGTAAATTGTTCTGCTAATAATCTGTTGTTCTACAACCGTGATTAATCTTTTCCTTCGTTTAATAAGAAATAATATTTATTCAGCATGATGGTTGTATAGCAAGGATGTAGATATGGGTGTGGGGGTGGTTGGGTGTTTGTATAGTTCGCCTTTCACACCCACACCCTAAGGAAGAGTGAATGTGGGTTGATAGAGAGGATACAGCCATACTTCACGTGCACAGTTTTGGAAGGAGTACCTAAAAAGATTTCCTGGTTAGTTTGTCCGTAGAAATGAATTACTGATTGGAAAATGATCATCTAGATCTTTCTTGACTATACAAAAAATAATTTCGTAATGAATTGTTAAGAACAAACTCTTCAAAACAAATTATAATTGTGCTTCCTTTTTTGACTGATTAATAATATTCTTGTGTTTAACTTGTCTCGGTGAGCATCTTTTGAACACATTGGCCATATTTCAATTGATGAATTTGTTAGAAAGCTCCATTCATGACATTCATTTATAGACAAGGTCAGGTAGGATTGAAAAGAGTAAACTAATATCTTTAATTGAGAGTATTTGTCGGAAATTTTTCAAAACCTTTGCTGATTGCATATTCGTTCTTTTGAAGATCTTTATCCTCTTCATTGTTCCCTTGTTCAGATCGAAGACCATTCCATCTACAATGTGTTGCAACAATCAAAATGATTCAAAAGTTGTACATTGACTGAAGGGCGACTTATGATCTCAGGTATCAGTATGTGATCTGGAGTCAGACTTCTCTTCACCTACACCTACGCCAGTTTTTCGTTCTTGTCCTTTTGTTCGAACTCTGTTACAATGTATAAAAAAAAAAGTTTGTGGAAGTCTTTTCTAATTGTCTATTTATTTGGAATCAGTAGATGGCTGATATTGGGTAAAACTTTCGTATGCAAAATTTTTAAATATCAAACTTCTATAGACTTCATCGAAAAAAATATTTATTAGAGAAAATAAATAGTTGCTTTTTTTTATATTTGTGTGATGTTGGGCGAATGAATTGAGTCGAACTATTTTTTCATAATAAATTAATATGTGTACGATTTTGTAAGTTTCAATAGGATCTTACTCATACGTTTATCTAGCATTTATTCATTTCAATTGCCTGAGAGAACGCAAACAAACAGATATATATATGTATCAACTTTTTACGAATCATTTTCTTTTATCTGTTGTCACAATTATCGATAAATATCGATACAAGATTCAATGGCGTAAACCGACTATATATGCTTTATCTATAACACCATAATAAAAAGAATAGTTTTCATCTGTATACACATTCTAATCAGTTGTGTTCGACGACGACATGATATCAGCTGATACTTCGGTTGTGTTGATTCTAGTGTTGACGATTAATATTATTTCCTATGTGCACAATTTTGGTGTGAGTTATGTTATCAAGAAAGATATCTTTGGTGGATTCACATCAAGCAAATTTTCAGTCTATGATAAAACTGAAAAGCACCTAAAATATCGCATCGAACATCGAATGACTTCTCGATATCGAGGAATTATAAAAATTGCTAATTCATGGGGAAACATCGTAGGTGAATTAACTGATCGATTGAAAAGTAAAAACTATGCTGCTGATATTACACTTCTTGATCCATCATCCAAGGAGTGGATAGATGGAAATATTACAACTGCATCCTTTTGGGGAAAAGAATATGTCATCCATATGAATGGAAAATATTTAATAATGAAAAGCAAACCTGATCTTACCACCGAATTTTATGAAAAAAGTCGAGGCGAACGCTTGGCTCAATTCAAAAAACGACCTTGGTCAAGATTGTGGGCTGCAAGATTTGATATAGACATATTTTCGTTGAAATTTCCAGAAACATTGTATATGCTCGCACTAGTTGTTAATGGATAATAGTGATGACTATCGAGAGGCAAAAATTCAAAAAAACTTGCTTCCGATTCAGACAAGCGAATGAAATCATTTATTTCTTTTAATCTGCGTCGTTTAATTCTTTTAATCAATAAATGCTTCCATATAATATGTATTGATTTGGTACAAAGGAAAAATTTCGAACGAAAAAGCGAAACACTGACAAGAGATAAATTTCAAAGAAAAGTGTTTCCTTGAAGAATCTGACCCGATAAATGGACAGCAAACACAGCTATAAAATAGTACCATCGATTATTGCAACGTCTGAGAATAACATGACTACTTGAGCGATATCAAAATTATCTAAAGGATGCGTGTGGAGTGTGTAGGCTGGTATAAATCTTCTCTTCGCCTATACCCACACACTGATCGACTGGTAGCTAGGATTGAGTTCGTCTGAAACTAACAAATTTATTTGTGTCATATTGATCCAAGATATTCCTAAGTTCGAGAGAAGATTCTTTGACCATCATCTTCGAAAGAACAATGTCGAACAATTTGCACTATGGTTTTTCACATCTAATCGGAAGAAAAATCATTCTTCAGCTATTTCTTCCTTGAAGAATCGGTTTTATTAGATATATACTTCTAAGCACAGCCACCGATCGAACTAAAAATATACGACTTAGGTTCTATGAATCATAGGACACAACAAAGATTTTACAGGGAAAGAAATGTGTTGAAGAAAAAGAATAGATCGATTTGAGTACTTTTCAATCTCTCTATTCGCTTAGAACAGTTTCTGCATTCTTTAATTATCTAGACGCTCTTATTTCTCTCTGACCGTTTCTATGCTACTGTCAGTTGTACTCACACCATTGAAACAGGTGTTGGTCTGAATGGTTGTGGATACGGATATTCGTTTCTTCTACACCCACACTCACACCCTGATAAAACATGTCTTATGATTCTCGCTTAGTGAACACTGAAAATCGCACATAACTATTGTGTTACATTTCAGTAGAGGGTTTGGATGTGGGTGTGGGTGTGAATTGAGATAGGATCAACACCCACATCCACACCCACACCCCCAATTATGGCGTATCTATCAATTCGCTTCAAGGTGCAACATGGCTTGGAATAAAACAAATACATGGAAGAACTGTTGATCATTGGTATATATTCGGACGTGAATATTGGAGTGAAGTTAATGAATCAAGAAATGATGTACGCTTTTCGGGACCTAGTTTTGAAAGCACCTTATCAATTTACTGATTATGATGTTTGACAAATTAGCCCACAAGATCCACATCTTTTTGACTTACCAAAAGATACTGATTGTAGTCAGCCATGCCCATAATGAAAATCATGCGGAAAGATTTTCAGTATCGATTGAAAAAAAACTATGTTTAAAGGACAATTAAAGTTGTGCTCTAATAAAAAAAATATCCATATCATTTCTTCTTCAGCTTATCCATTATATTCATAGGAAATGAACGAAGAGATTAGGAACTTGAGGGATTATTATGGATAAAACATAGACACAATGAATATTTTAGTCAAACGTGGTTCTTCGTAAAAATTCTAACAGATATGTCTATTTGAAAAGCAAATTAAACAAGTTTATTGTTACAAAAAAAACGACAAAATGACTAAGGGAAAAAAGAATAACAATAATAAATTGTTCTTTTAGCAAAGTCAAATACTCAGTTGGTTGTCGTAGGATAATTCAATTCGAGTCATAGTTGAGTCTTGTAGGCGATCGATCTTTGCTATAATTGCTTGTTTAGTATTTGCTTTTACATGTGATTTTAATCTGGCATTACCATTTTTATTTATTTGTAATAGTATAAATTCACGAAAATGAGCCTTATCGATCAGCAATGCCAATACAAAATCAATCATTTGTTTTTCTCTTATCAGCTGTTGCTCACCAATAGCGAGATAATGCGTTTTAGGTATGAGTATATTTAATCGACTTACATCAAAATCTCTACGTTCCCATTCATAAACGGTGAGATGAACATGTATGATCATTGGATACCTGCCAGAACAGCGAGAAAGATCTCTGCATCTCACATTGAGATAGGAAAGATGTGATGATACATCCAGAATTATTTGCAATGATGTGTAGTACGTTAAACTCTGGTAGGGAACATGTTGTTTGAATCAAAACATCAACGAACGAAGATGATGACACAGATTAGTGTGTATTGGAGTTACGACAATTAATATAAAAGGAAAATGCTAATATAAATCGAAGACCAACGAGGGAACGTTTTCAACTGTCAAATCACTTTTGGATTCAGACTCTGTGCATAAGATAGACCTCAGTAAGGTATGAAAAGCCCCAAAAGGATAAGTGTCCTTAGGCCTTCTGCCCTTTAGTGGTGAGTAGGATACCCTAAAAATTTCAGCTCAAAAGAATATTTCCTTACCGAGATATTAAAGTCCCCAAAATCACTCATATACCACGAAGAATGATAGAATTTTCTGTGGGTGGATAAAATCTCAGATCAAAGTACCGTCATTCGATTTGTTGGTATATACCATGCCAGAGGCTAAAATTCCAGTAAAATATCTACAACTCTGGACAGAAGGCCTAACGGCACTTATCCTTTTGGGGCTTTTCATACTAATGCATACAGTCCGAACCCAAAAGTGATTTGACAATTGAAAACGTTCCCTCGCAAGACAAATAAAAATTAACAATGAGAACATTTATGTATGTTCTTATGAAAATGATGACTTACA